CAACAGCTCCGTCCTCAAGACCAACTTCTACACCCCTACCAAAGTTGCTATCAGCTTCCGTCTGAACCCCAACTTTCTCCCACGTTCCGAGTACCCTCAGCCGCTGTACGGAATGTTTCTTGTTATTGGTTCAGAATTCCGTGGTTTCCATCTCCGCTTCCGTGATATCGCCCGTGGTGGTATCCGTATCGTCAAGTCTAGGAGTCAGGAAGCATACTCTATCAACGCACGCTCAATGTTTGACGAGAACTACAACCTTGCAAACACACAACAGCGCAAGAACAAGGATATTCCCGAGGGTGGATCTAAGGGTGTTGTGCTTCTCGACTTCAAGCACCAGGACAAGGCCCGGGGTGCGTTCGAAAAGTACATTGACAGTATTCTCGATCTGCTTCTGCCTCCCACCAGCCCTGGTATCAAGGACCCTATTGTTGATTTGCACGGCAAGGAGGAGATTCTGTTCATGGGTCCCGATGAGAACACGGCTGATCTTGTCGACTGGGCAACTGAGCATGCCCGTGTCCGAGGTGCGCCATGGTGGAAGTCCTTCTTCACTGGAAAGAGCCCCAAGTTGGGTGGTATTCCTCACGACCGTTACGGCATGACTACTTTGTCTGTGCGCGAGTACGTCAAAGGAATTTACCGCAAGCTCAACCTGGATCCCAGCAAGGTCCGCAAGATGCAAACTGGTGGCCCTGACGGTGATCTTGGATCGAACGAGATCTTGCTCAGCAACGAAAAGTACATTGCCATTATTGATGGTTCAGGTGTTCTTGTCGACCAGAACGGCATCAACCACGAGGAGCTTGTACGTCTGGCCAAGGAGCGCAAGATGATCAATCACTTTGATGTGTCGAAACTCTCATCTGAAGGCTACCGGGTTCTGGTTGATGACACCAACGTGCGACTACCAAACGGCGATCTCGTCTACAATGGTACCACTTTCCGCAACACCTTCCATCTCCGCAGCGACATGCACTACGATACCTTTGTTCCTTGCGGTGGCCGACCCGAGTCCATTGACCTGTCCACTGCCAACAAGCTCATCGTTGATGGCAAGTCGGTTATTCCATACATTGTCGAGGGTGCAAACTTGTTCATTACCCAGGACGCCAAGCTCCGTCTCGAGAAGGCTGGCTGCATCTTGTACAAGGATGCTTCAGCTAACAAGGGTGGTGTTACTTCCTCCTCGCTTGAAGTCCTTGCATCCCTGTCGTTCGACGATGAGAGCTTTATCAAGCACATGTGTGTTGGAGAGGACGGTCAGGCTCCTGAGTTCTACAACAACTATGTGCGTGAGGTTCAGAAGACTATTCAGAACAATGCTCGTCTCGAGTTCGAGGCTATCTGGAGGGAGCACCAGGCTACTGGCCAGCCACGAAGCGTTCTTAGTGACACGCTAAGTACCGCCATTACCAAGCTGGATGAGGAGATGCAGAACACGGATCTCTGGAAGAACATTCAGTTCAGGGAGTCGATTCTTAAGGAGGCACTTCCTAACATTCTGCTCGAGAAGATTGGTCTTGACAAGATTATGGAGAGGGTAAGTGTTGATATTAAGACGTGGATATGAAGCAGAAACTAACACCCATATAGGTGCCAGACAACTATCTACGTGCCATTTTTGGTAGCTACCTTGCCAGCCGCTTCGTTTACGAGTACGGTGTATCGGCCAGTCAGTTTGCTTTCTTCGACTTTATGAGCAAGCGCATTACAAAGGGTAACAATGCTCCTCATTAAGAGAGGGGTATTTTCATAGAGCATCGCAACCTTGAACAGGCGTTTGGATTGGATACAAAAAGTTTGATTTGTTTTTGGAGGTCGAAAAGGGAGAGAGATCCCCTGGCCATGAACATGACTAGCGGCACTTATGGGACTCACGAGTGTGGGTCTACTAATTGGCGGCTTTGTCTGCCGTGGCGAATGAATGATTATGAATTGTTCGAGATGCTTGTTGTGACCGATTTGTTCAAGTGTATATCAAGGAATTTGTATGTCATTTAATCGTTATACTTGCAAGAAACACGTAGAAACAAAGAGCGTATAGGCCGTTACTAGAAAGATATCAAGAAAAAGAATGCTACCCCATCTCAATCTCCCCAACCTTACCTTATTCACTTGAAAGCGACCTTAATCTCCTTGGCAGGCTGCAACACAATATCCGCATGCATCCCAGGCTCCACGCCCCCCATCCTATTCTCCACCTTCTCAAACCGTTGGAACAAGCGCACAAGCGTATACCCCATTTCCGTGAGCGCAAACTGTTGGCCAATGCAAATCCTGGGACCCCCGTTGAACGGAATGTACGTCCAGCTCTTGGGCGTCCACGAGTCCCACCTGTCTGGTGCGAATGCCGATGGTGGGGGCAGTGAAGACGACGAGGGCGGATACAAATCTGCGCGGCGCTGCATGACGAGGGTTGAGTAGCCAATTGGGGTTCCCGCGCGAATACCAATGGGTTGGGTGCCGTCTGGGCCACCGCCTGTGGGGAGCGTGGTGTCTTTAAGTGCCATACGGACATTGTACGGGACTACGGGGTAGAGGCGGAGAGTCTCGTTGATGATGTGTTGGAGGTACTTCATGTTCTTGAGATTCTCGTAGGTGGGCTTGTTGTCGAGGCCGACGGTGTCAATGATTTCCTGGCGGAGTTTGGCAGTGATGACTGGGTCCATGGATAGGTGGTAGATTACCCATGTGAGGGTGCAGGCGGTTGTGTCGCGGCCTGCGAGGAGGACGTTGACGATTTGGTCACGGAGGGTGGAGCGGTCGCGGGTGTAGGATGCGAGGGCATGGAGGAAGTTGTAGTCTTCGTCGTTTTTTGAGGTTTTCCCAAGTTCCTCGGGGGAGAGGGCTAGGGCGCGGTCGATGAAGGTGGAGACGAATTCGTTGATTTTGTTGACCGAGTCATAGAAGCCCATGTATTTGCGGGGGACGACCCAGTTCAAGGGGCTGTGAGGTTTTAGTTGTGAGCTTGAATGAGACTGCAATAGTTTGTCATTTTACATACCCGACCCGGGCGATGATGCTCTGGACACGCTGGGCATTGTAGAATGCATCGGCAAATTCAGTCTTTGGCTCTTCCAGGCTGCCGACACTTTGGCCCAGTAAGAAATGTGTGGCTGCGTCCAGAGTATACCTAAACATCATGTCGAGCATATCGATTTCTTGGCCATTGTCAATCTTGGATATGAGAATCTGGGTGTGCTGCTCAAAAATGTTGATGTCGCTGAGGCGGTCTTTGATGAATTGCGGGCGGATCAACTGACGTGAGTTGTGCCATAGCTCGCCGTCAGTCGTGAAGATGCCTGAATGGGATCTGTTAGCCTCTGTTGTCTAGTTGATTTAAAAAAAAAACAGCATATTCGGCACTAAACAATGTCTTCACATACCGTGGCCCAGAAAATTATACCAGTCTTTTGTGAATTGTTCTCCCTTGCCATAATCTTTAAATTGAGTCGCCAGAATGGCTTTGATGTTCTCCGGTTCTGCGGTCATGATGAGGCGATCGACGACCCCAAGCTCGACCGTGTAGCGCCCGGTCGGGCACTCCTTGTTAAACATGTCGGTCCACATCTCATAGATTTTGTCATCTAGCGCACTCTGGACAGCTTCCCAAATTATGTCAATATGCCAGGGGAGGTAGCTCTTTCGAACGGGCGCGCGGGCGCCCATTTTATTGATTTTCGCATTGATGTAGAACTTGCGGGCGACGGTGTAACTGATATAGAGGGCAGCCAGGGCACCGACGAGCTGGGGCATTGATAGATGCATGGTGTCGAGTTGAGCCATGGTGGGCAAAATCTCGAGGACTGCTGTGGAGCTTTCGAGGATGCAGGCGGCGATATGTACCTGGTAGCAGCGTTCACATGCCGCAAGGCAGGCACGGCCGTATAGGCTGGTCGGCTAAGTGTACTCTAGCTCCTCAGTTTATAAAAAGAGATGCCGAAATTTTCAGACGCCATTGTTAAATTACACGTTCTACTGGCACAGGATTGGTGCTTTTCTCCCGTCGCTTAGAGGTACTCGTCACGACCTTGATGCTTCCATGTTTACGCCATTGAGACGGCGTATCCTTCGTCTTGGGCCTCGGGTATGACGTTCCAGAGGGCTCTCAATGTCGCACGAGTGGCCTTCGTCTCGCATCTTTAACCAAACTGGACAACACGAGGCCCGTGTGACCTGGCAGGTTATGAAAGCGGGGAAAGACGATCCTGGTTACTCAAGGTGGGGATATGTCGCGCGGCTTCGTACGAACTGCACAAATCGCATATTTCCCAGATCTGGACGAATGGCGAATGTCATGACTGAACGCTATGCGAACGACTGCGTCAGTATTCTTTTGCTAGTTGGGGAACGGTCGACTTGTCTGTCTTGTCCCAACGTTAGTGTTGAACCTTGTGCCGTTGATTGCAGGGGGTATACGTAGCCGACGTGCCGTGATCTCTGGGTTGCTGACACCAACCATCTCTTGTCAGGCCAGCCGTCACGGCATCGCCAGAGGCCCGCCAAAGTGAGGCCGCATATGAATGGTGGTACAAACAGCAGATTGGCGGTCGTGTACAGCTCCTCTGTGCACTTAACCATAGTTGATGACAGGGCTGCGGCGGAAGTGGAGGCTGAACCCCGGCACGTTATTATCGCGCCTCAACCGGATACCCCACCATGGCACCAGTACACTAGCTGATGTCTTGGCTGACCCTCCAAGTACTCCGTACATTTCTCCAGCCTCAAGCTCAACAACCAATCGAGTTTCTACGCAGTACACAACGAAACTAGGACACCCCAGCTTACATCTACAGCAAAGTTCATCACTGGCCGGCTTCAGCGGATATTGTTTAGGGGTATCGAATCGGACCTACATTGTCGTGCACCAGCCATCCTTACAAATTAGTCAATAGTTCAATTGTCTCTTTCAAAAAGCTTTTGCGGAGCTTATGTGCTCTTGTCATTTCATTTAGTTTTGGTCTCTTCATGCATTCGTTTCATCCATTTGCTGCACAATGAAAACCCTTGTAGTTTGTTCTCTTTTCACGTCATTGGCCGCTGCCATATGGCCGCTCCCTACGTCGTATGAGCACGGAGATGCTGTTCTGTTTATCAAGAAGGATATTTCGTTTCATTGGTACAAGGCTGGTGCAAGCAATGTAGGCTCATTCACGGATCAAACTCCCTTCTTCTTCGTATCAGAATCTGACATTGGACCTCATTTTCAGCAAAGTACAGCACTGGAACTATACAAAACCTATACAGATGTATCAGCCACCGACAAATCCGATGATGGAGCGGGCGACAGTGTTTCTGGCGATGACATTGTCGACTTTGCCATCAAATCTAGCTGGAAAATAATCTTCAATCAAAACCTCTACCCGTGGAAATTCCGTCCTCGGGCCTGGAACGAGCCATCACCTGGGAGCGCATACGTCGCTCGCGTCGACATCAAACAACTTTCCGTCGATCCGCAAAACATTGGAAAGCCGCAAGCTGGTGAAGCCGACGAATCCTACACACTAACCTTAACAACAGAAGGTATAGCTACCGTCAGCGCAAATTCCAGCATTGGCGTAGCACGTGGCCTAACAACATTTACACAACTCTTCTTCGTCCATTCAAACAAGCAGGATGTATACACACCCCTTGCCCCAGTCACCATTTCCGACGCCCCAAAGTTCCAACACCGAGGTATCAACCTCGACGTCTCTCGCAACTTTTTCCCCGTCAACGATATAAAACGCCAAATTGACGCTTGCGCCTATAATAAAATGAACCGCTTCCACCTGCACGCCACAGACTCTCAATCTTGGCCCTTGGAGATCCCCTCCATCCCCTCCCTCTCCGCCAAAGGCGCCTACAGCCCCGACCTTGTCTATACAGCCTCCGACTTCAGCGACCTACAGCGCTACGCCGCACTCCAGGGCGTTCAAATGATCACAGAAATAGACATGCCGGGCCACACAGCCAGCATTGGTTACAGTTCCCCCGATCTCCTCGCCGCATTTAACATTCAACCAAACTGGGATACCTACGCGGCGGAACCGCCGACGGGTACACTGAAACTCAATTCCACGGCTGTAAGCAAGTTCCTCGATACTGTTCTCGACGACTTACTCCCTCGTGTGCATCCGTATTCTGCGTATTTCCATACCGGTGGCGATGAGGTAAATAAAAACGCGTACAGCCTCGACGACACAGTCAAAAGCAACGACTTCGCCGTCTTACAGCCCCTCATGCAAGCTTTTGTAGACCGCAACCACGACCAGGTCCGCGCCAAGGGCCTCGTCCCCATTGTATGGGAGGAAATGCTGCTGGATTGGAATTTAACGCTAGGCTCCGATGTCATTGTGCAGTCATGGCTCAGCGATCAGTCCGTGGCGCAGATAGTAGGCAAGGGTCACAAAGTACTCGTTGGAAATTACAATTTCTGGGTAAGATACTAAATGCACTTCCTCCTTCTTCCCACCTTCCTTTACCGTAGGAAAATCGTGGTTGGAATGAGAAATGCTAACGAAAGATGATAGTATCTTGACTGTGGCAAAGGCCAATGGCTCAACTTTGATCCATCAGTTAGTGCAGATAACTGGCCTTACAATGACTACTGTGCCCCCTTCCACAATTGGCGCGTAATATACTCGCTGGATCCGCTCGCTGGCGTCCCAGAGGCATCGCAGCACCTTGTTCTTGGGGGCGAGGCGCACATGTGGGCTGAACAGACGGACGCGGTGAATGTGGATCAGATGGTCTGGCCACGCGCTGCGGCTGCGGCGGAGATACTGTGGAGTGGGGCCAAGGATGGAGAAGGCAGGAATCGTAGTCAGATTGAGGCGGCGCCGCGGTTGAGTGAAATGAGGGAGAGGCTGGTGGCGAGGGGTGTGGGCGCGAGTGCGATTCAGATGCCGTATTGTACTATGGATGGCGTGGTGTGTCAGTTGGGATATCAGGGGACTTCATAATAATGTGTGTTTTGGGTTAACATGTCGAGACGGAAGAGCACGTTGTATTTAGCTCGTTAATCACTTTCCCGTATACATAAGGGAAGGAGTTCTCTTAATCCATCCAACATCAGCGTGATTTTCTACACGTTCAACGCCAAAGCGCCTTTTCCCTTTCATTTCCTGTCATACAACACAACGTCTTCTCTAAAACTCCATTGCATCCGCCGCCTCTTCCCTCTCCCTCTTAAGCGCCGGCTTCTCTTCCTCCAACAAGCCTGCAACGAATCGCTTGAAAAAGTCTACATAAGGCTTCAGGCTTGTCTTCTCCCAGTCCTGCACCTTCTTGTCCGTCTCGTCTCCAGTCCAGTCGTCAATTTCTTGTAGTAGTTGTGTGACTGTTGGTACGCTCAATGGATCGAAATCTTCGACTTTCTGTGTGTCAATCGGTACACAGACTCTGCCTGTGCCGGGATGTATTACAAATGGGCTCTTGAGTAAATGGTTCAGTTTTTTGGAGACTTCGGCATCAAGACGAGGATACGTGTATTCTAAAATGATGTCCTGTTTGGCTTCACGGAGCTCTCTGGGTGTCTTTGATAGGGCACCGGATTCGGCGAGGGTATTGATGTCGGACCATTTGGAAGCGCTGGGGCGGGAGGGTGCAGAACTCCATTTCTTCTGCAAGGCAGCTTTGAGGGTAGGGTCGGGGAGCAGGTTGAGGAGGTGGGCTGCTTTTTCATCACTGGCCCAGGGATCCTGTTCGGCAAGAATGGACGTCTGGAAGTGCTCTTTCAAGATTTCTAGACTGCGCTCCAGATGAGGGTGGAGGGGTCGTCGGGCATGGACTTTCTTGCCGCCCTGATCGCCTCCCTTAAGGAGTTCGAGATAGCTGGCTACCGAGCGGCGTCTCTGGTCATCCATCTCTCGTGCGCGCTTATCACAAACCCAAGCGTGAGCACCACGACGACCGGAGTAAACCCAGAGTATGTGCTTGAAGCCGAAGTCTTCCCGTAGAGCCACATCGATGGTCTTGATGGCCATTGTGATGAAGCCCCAGCACTTGAGACAAATGCTTGCACCTGTACAGCATGTTCTGATGTCATCATAATCCGTCATATCGATATCGAAGACCAGCTCCTTCATGACTGGACGAAAGGCACTGGCTTTTCGCAACGTCTTCCGATCTCTCGGGTTTGTGCTGTACATGGGGCCGATTTCAAAACGGGAGGGAAGCATGCTTATGCACTGTTTCCGTAGTAAATCAGAAGTCGGAAAAGACTGGTAGCGCAGATATGCATCATTAGGTAGCGTGAATGCGAATTCGCGATGGGCAAAGTCGTTGCTCGGGGTTGCGGAATGGTTGAGCCATTGGAAGAGGGGGCGGAAAGGGAAAAGGCGCTGGTAAAAGGCGCGCATGATATCTGGGTCGGAGAAGGACGACTTCGAATTAATCTTGCTGTGTGAATGTCAGTTGTCGAGCATCAAGATTGTCGAAGGGGAGGGGCGTACATTGGGGCCGGCTGCGATGCATCTTCTTGCGAGGTGGGTGCTGGTGCGCTCGAAGGGAATTCCGGGTCTGAATCTACGTCGTCGAATATTTCCTCGAGCTTGACTTTGCTTGTCTCTGCTGTGACCGCTGCTGGCACGTCTTCCATTGTGATATCTTGGGTTTCTGGCTCTGGCTTGACGTTGTCGGTCTGCGATGCGTCTTGTACAGGCGTCGAATCTGGCGAGATTGAGTGTGGCATTGTGGATACCATGGATTGATCTGAACCTGGCAGGTCAAGGCGTTGGATTGTCTGTTGGAGTTGAAAGGCTCCGTCACGGTCAACGCGTAGAGAGAACGCGGGCGCGCGTTTTGGCTACAGGGGTACCCTTGCGCGTCGTCCCTCATTTACTTTCCCCATTCGGTCAACCATCGCTGACTACACTACGTTTGTCTTCAGCCATAATTCTCTTGATATCTGCAGCACACACTATCTTCGGCCTCATAAGATTGACAATAGAAGAGGAAGGTATGGTGTCCTGGGACGGATGGATTTCAGATGACAGCAGTTTCTATGGTACGTCGGGTGCATCTTGAAACCCCACCCGCTAACAATTTGAAGGCACCGAGGAGGAGCAACAGCATCAAAGACAGCGCTGTGAAAAGTATGATCTAAAATTGTTCTGGCATTCTCGCTCCAAATATATCAACGCCATCGCGATGAATGCGAGGACTCAGCTCCTTGCAGAGCCTACTTCCAACAACAGCACAGCGCCGTCCAAGAGAGGGAAGAGGGGAACATCACCGGTTACACAAGATCAGACATGCAAGACACCTAGTCGCTACCACAAAGACTTGGCGCAGGAGCACCTTTTAACGTCAAACAAGCGTAAGCAAGAGTCATCATCAGAGCAATCATCGGAGCTCGAGTTGTTCAATCGGCTACAAGGACAACTCGATGCGTAGCAACTAGGCGGGTCTGTCGATGACTTTATACGCCGCCTTCCACCACTGACCACCTCCATCTCCAAATGTCCCTGGATCTGGGCTGAGAATCCTTATCGCAACCCTCACGGCAAGCCGCCATATTCCAATGTCGCTGACTTTACAAATCGCGGCATGCAACTGCTCCAAGAGTCTTTAGAGAGTCGCCGTAAGATTCGCGAGTTAGCTGCTACACAACCGAAAGGAAGCGTGACCAAAAAACTAAGTCAAGAAAGCAAGTCTTTGCAGGAGCGCATCGCCAGCCTAGCCAGAGACACTCACGTTCTCTCTGGAAAAGTAGGTGGAAACTGACTGGAGCTGACTACCTCATTCCTTTCATGTCTAACTTTGAGTAGTGGATGTTATTCCTAAAATCTGTCGATGTTACTCGAGTCTGGAAACAGATCGTAGCAGGTGTCATCGAAAACCGACTTGGCTCTGGCTGCAAAGTGGCAATGGATGATGGAAAAGAGGAATGGCTGAGTAAGTGTGGCAGAACCCCGAAAGAATAGAGATTTACTAGTGCTAATGGTATCGCAGTCTGTGTCTACACAAAGGACTTTCAAGATACTCAAGATGTTGTACGAGTACTCCGGGAGCTGGAAAACATGGTTTTGATCTCTGCAGGCCGACCTATCTACTACAAGCCTGATGCCTATACTTACCTGGATCTCATGCGCGAAAACGCGGCCGAGTACGGATTGCAAGCGAGTCTTTATAATTCCCGCTCAATGCTGGCCAACGGTAAAGGGACCAAGTCGTCCCCACGATCCCAAAAGAAGTAGTGTAAGGCTATTTCGGGCCGTGAATAGTTTTTGTTGTAGCTACAGCGAAGAAGAGGGTTGCTGGGATACCGTATACAGGATGTACGCATGCGATGCAACGCACCGATAACTCGGATACCATTTACGGTGCCTAGGTGAGGATGCTGGCGGGCCCCCCACGAATTCTTTCCCAGCAAAACTGGTAACTTCCCTTTTCGTCCTTTTGCTCGCTCTGCCACCATTTGGAGCCTGTGTGTCTTCTAGTCGTTGTTGAACACATAGCAAATCCTTTACGGATTATGCGTCAAAACCAAGGTTCTGTCGGACGGTACTAACCAGCAGTTTTCCTCTTTTCCCACAGCAAACACCCCGCTTGCGATGCTTAACAACGCAGCTACCAGGGTGTTTGCGCACCATGCTGAATCGCCATTGTCTAGAGCTTTCCAGAGAAACGTAAGCAAAACCTACCCCTGGGTGTGTAACGCGATTGCAAAGTCTTTACCGCTACACGACGTCTAGCCAATGCAGAGGCAATTTGTCACATCGTGTCTGCAGAACATGCTCGCCACCACGACGAAATGAGAGTAGCCGAGGCTGCTGGGCCTCTCGTGTGCAAGCGCGCCACCGGGAACTCCAGAAAGCGTTGAGCGTGCAGTTTTTGTTACTCGATAGCTACTTGGGTTCGGAGTTCTGGACGCCGTAGTTGGCCGCTTGTCCTAGATGACTCGAACCGACAACCAGAATACCAGAGGGCCACGGAGATGGCCGAGCACCCATCTCGACCACCTCATGATGTTTATGGCCTCGTTCCTTTGATCAAGAGTATAACGCCGATGCCTGAACGCGGTCATGCTTGTCAGGACGCACGAAACGAGCTACAGCAGAATCGGAATGCGTTTGGAAATTCGGTCGAGAATATGCCTTTCGGGCAGCTCCGGGAGAAGCCAGTCCATGCGTGTCGGGCTAGGTAAGCGGTCGCGGTGACGAGAGCCAACTTATTGGATTTCCGTTACTCGATAGAAATAGAAGGTACGCGCTGCCTGACATCTCCTTAGCTTCTCCGGAGATGTCGGGCACTCTCCCGGTGGCCTCAGGACTCCCAGCTCTTTTATCCATCAGGCTAATAACCAAGAACAAAAGAATTCTCTTTTCCTCGAAAATACACAAGCTGCAAAGAAATATCCGGCGGTGTATTCTGGACCATGCACTGGATGTTCGAGGTGCCACGGGTATTATGACGCTCAACCGGCTGCCCTGCGCTAGGCCTTGTGGGCCTAATCGGAGCGATCTACTGCATGCCTATCGTAGGGGAGCCACATCCTTGCATTTGCTTATCAGTAACACATGCACGTCTCCCAACACCACCTTTTGAGCCAGAGAAGCAATGTGCGTTTCTGGGTGCTTTACAGTCCCAACAACTGCAATATTGTATTTTTGAAGGGAAAGATAGTATGAGGATAACATATTATAGGTCACACCGAAGAGCAGATACCTATGAAATGGGAAAATGTTGGCTCGTGTCTACAATAAAGTTGACCAACACAAGACAGGGCCGAGACGCATGGTCAGAGCGGCCGCGATAGCCTCGCCTCATCGTAGTTACTCGATAGTATCGAGCAATATGTAACGCAGGGCGCGCCGGTGGCCCACTATCCCGCGGCGCTCGCGTTAGCGAGACCCATACCTTATATACAATGCTTCGAGAGTAGCCCGGGGGTGGCTCCTAGCCATGGACAGATAAGGGACTGTACCCCAGATTTTGGCGTTTTTTTGACAGTCGATATATCTGACCACAGGGTTCTTTTGTAATAAAGAATCCCATCTTCTCTCTCCCAGCACTATTTACTCAATTTCTTTTAAAGACCTCACTCCAGTCCTCTTTTACACTTCCTGGCGCATCATTGACAGCGTCTTATCAACGCTTATCTGCAGCTCACCGACGACAGCCACCCCAACTTCCCCGCGTTCGCCGAAACCGGCTTGTGGCTGTATATAGCTCTTACCTTCCTGACGCGGTGTTATATAGTCCCACGTCTTCTGTCTTTACTTCTTTCTCCTTTCCGCTCCAAGTTCACTCAACACAACTCCAGCCTCGCAACATGGCCCCTCACGCGACGACACCTCCACCCACTTCTCAGGCCCAGCCTCTTCATCCCATCACTGTACTAGCTTCTTCAAGAGCTGTCGTTGGTGGTCGAATTACAGAGGCTACCATTATTGTATCGAACAATACTGGCAAAATTACGTCCATCTTCCACTCAGTACTTCCTCAAACGCACTTCCCTGAAGGTACACCATACACAGACTACTCTCCACACATCTTATTACCTGGACTTGTTGATGCTCATGTACATCTCAACGAGCCTGGCCGAACAGAATGGGAAGGCTTCTGGACTGGCACTCGAGCAGCAGCTTTTGGTGGAGTCACCACTGTCATCGATATGCCGCTAAATGCTATTCCACCCACGACTACGGTTGAAAATCTCAAGATCAAGTGCGAGGCCTCGCAAGGCAAATGCTGGGTCGACGTCGGCTTTTACGGGGGTATCATTCCAGGCAACTCAGGTGATCTAAAAGCACTGGTCAAAGAAGGTGTTCGAGGATTCAAGGGTTTCTTGTGCGAGAGTGGTGTAAGTCTAGTATACTTCAACATTCAATCATGTGACACTAACACTCGCCATGTAGGTTGAGGAATTCCCCGCCGTATCCTCCCTCGACATTGAAAAAGCACTGCTCGAACTAAAAGACTCGGCAACTACCCTCATGTTCCACGCCGAAATGATCCCACCCATTGCCGACTCCGTAAGCGACGTGATCCAAACCTCCGAACCCCCTCTCGCCCCTAAAGGCGCCCTAACATCCTATGACACCTTCCTGCAATCACGACCTCCCGCCTTCGAAACATGCGCCGTAGCTGAGATCCTCTCGCTAGCCCACTTAGCCCCAGAGCTACAACTCCACATCGTGCATCTCTCTGCCATCGAAGCCATCCCTCTGCTCCGCAAGGCGCGCGCAGACGGGGTCAAAATCACAGCAGAAACATGCTTCCACTATCTCGCTCTCGCCGCTGAAGGCATCAAGGAGGGAGACACAAGACACAAGTGCTGTCCCCCCATCCGCTCGCAATCAAACCAAGACGGCCTCTGGGAAGAACTCCTTCAAGACACCGCTGACGGCGTCATTCAAACCGTCGTTTCGGATCACTCGCCTTGTACACCCGACATTAAGCTCCTACCCGCACATCTGGCGCCTGCGTCGTCATCGTCAGAAACGCCCAGCAACCTCGAAACCCAGGAATCGGCAGCCAAAGGCGACTTTTTCGGCGCGTGGGGCGGTATTTCGAGTGTTGGCCTTGGTCTTCCTATCCTATGGACTGAAGGTACCAAGCGCTTTGATAACAATTCCTTCTCCATTGAAGACATCGTGCGTTGGTGCTGCAAGAATACTGCCAAGCAGGTTGGATTGGAGCATAGCAAGGGAGATATCGGCGTAGGGTTTGATGCTGATATTGTGGTGTTTGATGATGAGGCCGAGTTCATGGTATGTTTTCTCCTTCCTTTTCATATTACCATTTTTGGGGGATGGTCTGCCTTGCTTTGCGCGGCTTGACTGGATGTAGATGTTCATATGTGGTGGTATTTGGATAACATGGCTAACTAAAATGGGCAGGTCGAACCCAGCACCATGCTCTTCCGCAACAAAGTCTCGCCGTACGAGAATAAGACACTCAAGGGTGTGGTGCGCGAGACTTGGCTACGTGGCCAGCGTGTTTTCTCGCGCGCAGAAGGGTTCTCGGAGAAGAGTGGGCCGTCGGGCAAGTTGTTGCTCGAGCCGAGAAAGATGAGTGCGTAATCGAAAGGTATTAGGATCAAGATTTGATTGTTGTTACAGCTGCATAGATGGCGTTGGATGGGTTTCCTGGCATTTCCGAGCATTCATACATTCACACAAAGATAGAAGAAGTCGTTTCTCGAAAGAGAAACACAAGTCATGATCAAAGCAAATCTCTCTCATCTTTCCAATTCTTCATCAAGGTGAATCATATGGTACACCGATTACGTCCCAGAAATCGCTATGCGCCTTTGTAGTGCAAAAAAAACGAATAATCGACTTCGTCTGACCAGGGTAGCGGGGCTAAGAAATCTACAAGTACTTCTTTGGAGCCGAGTCTCTCCTCCTCTTGTACAGCATATATCCACCGGTAATCGTGATTTGGACAGCAACGGCGATGAACAAAAAGGTCATCATGCTAGGGCCCTTGCTGGTGATGGCTGTTTTAAAACAATTTAGCTCTGATCAAGCAAAAGGAAAAAAAAGGGGGATCTATGAATCAAAGAAGAAAAGAAGAAAAGAAACTTACCAGCACCCATCAAATGCGGCAAAACCTGAATAACGCCATCCTGATTCCTCTCAAGTGCCCGGTGAATCTGATTCATCATTTCCTTGAAATCCTTGGACTCCAAATCACGCAGGATCTGCGCTGTGGCGCGTTCGACCTTTTCGACGTTGTGCATGGTACCGGCGCTGCGCGCGTCGATTGCATGGACGCGCTCACTGATATCTTTCCAGCGCTCGTTGTTTTCTTCTGTGAGAGTATCTACGGCTTGCTTGACTTCGTAGACGCGGTGGAGGAGGGTTGCGAGGTGGTGGTCGACCATTTGGACGCGGTTGTGGAGATCGGCGAATTGCTCTTGCTGGGCGCGGATGGTGTCTGCGGATACGTCGTCGATTATCTGAGGGAAGCCGTTTTCTGATGTACTCCTGGATTGCTGTTGTTGGTGCTGTTGGTGCTTCTGCTGCTTCTGCTGCTGCGAGTTTACGTAGTTTGCGTAGTCTTTCTTGTTTGGGCTCGGTGGGTTGGTGATGTGCGAGTTTATGGTGGATACGACGAATTTGTGAATTTCGAACGAGTCTGGGCTCTCGGCGGACGAGGCGCTGATTCCGAAGTAATAGCCTTCAGGGAGTTCGACCTGGAGGAGCGGTTAGTGTACTGGACAACTGTAGACCATAGACAAGTCCACCGTACCTTGTCCGTCTTGAAGCATAGTTGCCCGTCGACGATAACTTCAAGGAAGCCCTGTGCATGATGCATCTTGATTGGTGTAAGTTCGCCACGGTTCCTGTATGCATAGTCGCATTTGCCAAAAGCCAGCGTGTCTGGGTCTGGGTGGGACTTGATGTCCTTTGTTCCGTCGTTGAGAAAACCACGGATAGATCCTCCATGACCTTCATACTGGTCTATGAGCAGCACCAGACCATCAAACTTGGGCGACGTATACAAGCTTGCAGGTGTCTCGTGCGCCTGTGAGTCCTTCACATACCAAAACTGTAGGTTTCCACCTCCGCGCTCCATTCCCGTTGCCCTAAAGTCTAGTTCTGCAGTCCAGTCGCCTTTGTGGTACAGCGCATCCTGAGCCCATATTGAACCGCGTCTATTGCCGGGGTATGGAGGTGTAAGAATGATGCGATCCGAGAGTATCTGGGGTGTATAGTCGTCTGTGCCTTGGACGACGAAGTGAGGAACCGAGTGGTGATCAGGTGTAATAGATTCGCCCGCTTTATACCCGAAACTCAGATTCTCCATGACATGATCGGCCCGTGCTGTGTATACCACAAAGGCTGACCAAGCAATGGTCCGTAGCGATCGCGATGTGACGTACATGGTCGAGGTAGGTGACAGCTCTGTCTTGAATGATAGGGGTTTGGAATGGAGATGATGTACAGAAGGCCCAGGTCCTTTCTCTAATATTCTCGGGTTAATCCACATTCAATTGAATTTGTTGATATAATATCAAACCTACGTCGTGCTCTATCCTATCCAAGCGACCGCGCCTGCGTCGCCAGGCTCCACACAACTCACAAGATGATTGACTTGGATATGAGGAAAAACAAATAGCAATTGGGTATCACAGAAGGACAGCAATGTACAAGAATCGAAAAAGTGCCACCAAATGGGCAGAGAGAGGGCTTAAGAATCGATGTGGGCGAGAGGCTTATGGACAGCTGTGCTTTAAGGTTACCCCATATCACATTGATTGGGTGGTCCCTGCGCTAACACGATGCGACAGCCGTGGCAAGCCCCTCTCTAAGATGAGACGACAAGGCCGTGAGGATGTTCAGCTGCCAATCATGGAGTAATAAAAATGTTTCAACCTGTTTGCGCCGAAGAATCGAGACGTTGCACAGACAAGTATAAACAACAAGGCACAAGACAGGCATCGAGTGCAACGATGTCGCAATGCGGAGGGTCTGGCTTGGCGTGAGCCCTGGTATCGGGGGTCATGATTCGCCGATGACCATTTTCTCCATCGTCGCTACCTCATCACCGAGCTCATCCGCCATTGTTGCCGCCTGGACGCCTCACCCCACCCCATCCTCGTCCTCTCACCTAAAAGACCAAAATGGCCGCACCAGATCCAAAGGAAGCGTGGTCGCGCCTTCAAAACGAATTGACACGACGAAGCGCTCGATTTGGAGGGGCAGGCGGCGGCGGACCACCGAGGGGTGTCTTTGGAGGCCTCGGAGGACTATTGCTTGTCGGTGGCGGAATTTGGATGGCAAATAATGCGCTGTTCAACGGTATATTGCTCTTTGCGCAAGAGCGCATGCTCAATTCTGTGATCATGGAACGCTGACCCGCTACAGTCGATGGTGGTCACCGAGCAATCAAGTACACCCGAATTGGTGGCGTGCAGAAGGAAATCTACAGTGAAGGCACCCACTTCCGCATTCCCTGGTTCGAGACTCCCATCACCTACGATGTGCGCGCAAAACCACGAAACGTCGCTTCCCTCACTGGCACCAAGGATTTGCAGATGGTCAACATAACTTGCCGTGTATTGTCAAGACCGCGGGTCGAGGCGCTTCCTCAGATTTACAGGACATTGGGCACGGACTACGATGAGAGGGTTCTGCCGTCTATCGTCAACGAGGTCTTGAAGAGTGTGGTGGCGCAATTCAATGCCAGCCAGCTTATTACACAACGTGAGAACGTTAGCAGGCTAGTACGGGACAACCTCGTCAGGAGAGCCGCTCGCTTCAACATTATGCTTGACGACGTCTCCCTTACAGTGAGTAGCCCTTGTCAGAATTCCCCTCTAAACTCCGCAATTCACTAAATCATCGTAGCACCTTGCCTTCTCTCCCGAGTTCACTGCCGCTGTAGAAGCTAAGCAGGTTGCCCAGCAAGAAGCCCAGCGCGCCGCTTTCGTTGTCGACAAGGCCCGCCAGGAGAAGCAAGCTACAGTCGTTCGCGCCCAAGGTGAGGCCCGTTCCGCGGAGCTGATTGGTGACGCCATCAAGAAGAGCAGGAGTTACGTTGACCTACGAGAGTTTGAGAATGCAAGGAGCATTGCCAGCATCTTGCAGCAGAGCAGCAACAAGATCTACCTCGACAGCAAGGGTCTGGGTCTGGATATCAGCCAGAGTAATGCCGATAAAGAGCAGAGGGCGAACAGGAAGTAAGCAGATGATACGACAAGGATGATGGACTCCCCAACTCTTCTTCGCGCATCATAATCATGTATAACTACCCTCTGGGAAAAAGCGAGGTGCAAGCGTGCAAATGCGTAGCTTTCCACTCATGTCTAAATAACAAAATATTCCGACTTCACTCATGCCTGTGTCTGTGAAATGACTTGCTGTATACCAAATTTGATTCTCTATTCTTATCCATGAGAACATTTGCATATTTCCATTCGATTTTTCGATGATCGTATAACTCATTGGAGAGTGCACTAGCTGAAGCATACGCTCCAATGACAGTAGAATAACGGATCAGCGCTGAAACGCATCTACCCAAAAATAGGTTATTCGTCCGCAAGACGCCATGGCAACAGGCGACCGACCACATCCGCTTAATTAGTACTTACTATCAGGTTATCAGCAATCAGCAATCAGCCCACTGGTCCTAGCGCCACCAATACGGGCTTTCATTTCACCAAGCACGGACAACCATATTAGCGAATAGATTATGAACCTGACGTCAGTGCGGGCAAGACAACATGAGCATTCACATATACAACCATTGACTGTTTATCTGGTCCATGACAAGTTTTTTTGATTGATTGATGGTACATGTCCGACAATGCGGTGGAATCTATTCAGCTCCTCCCAGCCATGCCATGATGCCGTTACTCGTTATCGATCGTGTCGCGTACCCCGGTAGTGGCGCGCTTATTTGGCCTCGTCGAAAACGTAGGTGAGGTGGCACTTTCCGCAGTACTGGCGGTTGTGCATAGCGGCCATGAAGACACCAGCACCGCACTCGGGCTGGGGGCACTCACGGCGGAGGCGCTCGATCTTGCCATCACCGTCGACCTTGTAGTACTTGAGCACAGCTAGCTTGGTCTTCTTGCGCTTGTGCTTGATCTTCTTGGGGGTGGTGTAGACCTTCTTCTTCCTCTTCTTACCACCACCACGGAGACGGAGGACCAAGTGGAGGGTCGACTCCTTCTGGATGTTGTAGTCGGCAAGAGTGCGGCCGTCCTCGAGCTGCTTTCCGGCGAAGATGAGACGCTGCTGGTCCGGGGGAATGCCCTCCTTGTCTGGTGACTGTCAGATGGCGAAGTCCAAGCATCTTCGCTGAGCTGTACGTACCCTGGATCTTGGCCTTTACATTGTCGATGGTGTCGGACGACTCCACCTCAAGGGTGATAGTCTTGCCCGTACTGCCAGCGTATTAGTTCTGAATGAGCTGCTGCTACTGCTGTGCGCGGGTATCCTCTTACAGGGTCTTCACGAAGATCTGCATGGCGGCCTAAGCAATCGTGTCTTGATTGCTTTCCTCAGCGTGATGCAGAAAGGGTGTGAAAAGAAAAAGTCGGCGGGAAAGTGCTCGGGTGGATGAAATTCGTGTGGATCTCGTAAGCGAGCACGGCGGGCGGCGACAGCAGCATCCGTGCGCGATGCAGATCGAAAAGCACGTGATTGTGCCCAGGCGCGGTGGATATACTAGCGCCAGCCTCGGCCATGGGCGGCTAGCCGTCGCTGGGGTGACGGATATGCCAGCGATTGTTGTGTCCTGACCTCATACGGTAATACTCAGCTGTCCCCGCCTGCGCTACTTTTATTATCCTCCACTTTACTCTCCATCTTCTGCACCCACACTTTCTTCATCTCTAGTATCAATTGCTTTGTTTAGCGACTCACACTAAAACACTTCTTTGTCTTCAGACTTAGTCGCACAGGCTTCGGCCCATTACTTACTTGACGCAGGCTACTGGGAGATTGCATCTGTACTGAGGATACCATAAGGACACCGACCGCCCGGCGGAGCGCCGCTTGCACTGCGTGAGGTAAGTCTGGATATCCATTTATTCCAACGTCCAAGCTCGCATTCTCGACACTGCGACTTCAAAGTAACATGACCATTAACATGCATCAGTTTCGGACCCAATAGGACTTCCCCCATCCTCGAGAACCGATTCCGGACTCGACCTGCATAAGATATGCTGTCCACAAATATGCCAGCCGGCATCCAGCGCCAACGGATTCAGCACCGTCGACAAAACTCGACACCAACTGTTTTCGACGCGCCTACAGTACGCCCATCGCCTGCTAAAATACGACGATCACACCGGACCGGCATGAGCTTGGATCTACGCGGCCTCAACCTAGACTCCATCCATGCCGCGCGACAAGCCCAATACCAGGAATACGCCCAACGACCAGGACCCTTCGACATCCCCTCCTTCCAGCAGGAAGACAGTACGGTAAGTAATACTAACAATCTAGGACAATCATCACAGCATTCTATGCAAGTAGCGCAGACGCACAGACAGCCCCAGCCGGGCCCCCAGGACACCTTCTTGGCATCCCCAGTACAGATCACTTCATCAACACCGCGGACTCCCTCAAGGTTAACCCGCGTGCAATCTCCCACGCAGCTTCCCTCTTCCCCCTCTAAACCCCCAACTGAACAGCAATTGAAAGAACTCCACGAGCACATTCAGTCTGTGTATGGCTCATGTGGACAAGTCTTCATCAACATTCTACCTACACCCACTTCGACCCCACAGAAGCCAGCGCAGTTGCCAAGCCATGAATCTTTCAGTCAAAATGGTCTCTCAGCTGCCTTTACCGGCATGTCCGACATTAATCTCGAGCCTACCTCAAAAGCCATGACATTCGACTTTGAAAACCCAGAAGTGGACCTTGGTTACGACTCATCTTCGTACTACACATCCGACGCCTTGTCGCCGTCGCCCGTCTCCTCGCCACGACAAAAGCCTGCTCAATCTATCTTGGAGAACATCGAAGAGAACCAAGAGATGGTTTTCGCGCAATCACACGGCTTGTTGCCTACTCCCCAAAGCGCAGTGCCCATTAACAGCTTGCAAACACCCATTGAACAGTTTGCGCCCTCTCAAATGTTCAACGACCTGGATGTGGACGCTAGCTACGAGTACACTGGTATCGCGCCCGAGGAAGTTCAAAGATACATTAGTGAGCAAGACGCGACGACCGGTAAGTGGACCTGCCTGTACCAAGGCTGCGGCAAGGTCTTTGGACGAAGGGAAAACATTCGATCGCATATCCAAACACATCTTGGTGACCGCCAGTTCAAGTGCAACGGATGCGGTAAGTGCTTCGTTCGACAACACGACCTGAAGCGCCACGCAAAGATCCACTCTGGCAACAAGCCATACAAGTGCCCGTGCGGTGCAGGGTTTGCACGACAGGACGCTCTTACGCGCCATCGCCAGCGTGGCATGTGTGTCGGTGGATTCCCCGATGCAGTTCGTCGACAGGCCAAGCGTGGCCGACCGAAGAAGAATCGGCCGGATATGGAGCAACGCGTCGACAAGGCCAGCAGAACGCGACGCGCCCTTGTGTCAGCACCTTCATCATCAGCTGGTTCGCCAAACTCGGATGCTCGGTCTCCTTCACCGCTAGTTGGCTTTGAGCCAGCTCAATCACAAGATCTCCCTCAGCTGCTTTCGGACTCACAGAGCTACAATGACTCCATGCACTCTTCTGTAGATCCTTTCAGGTTAGTTCTTCTACCAATCCTGTCACTGTCCAAATCTGACAAACAATACAGTTTTGAGAGCTCATCAAGCCCTTATCCTGAAGATGCTGGCCTCTCCCAGTCGAGCTTTGGCTCAACTTCCTACGCCAACGACTCTGCGTCTATGAACATTCTTCAACAACTCTCTCAGCACTCTCATACACCCCCAATGTCGCCTGCTGACATGCGCCCAAATTCTGCTGGGTCGCCAAATGACTCACATGCGCCCGTCCAACCTAGTCCTTTGAAGGCAACGGCATCGCCTTCGCGGTCGTCTGTCCAGTCAAGTCAGTTCACAACACCACCAACCTCACCGATTGACTCCAAGGACAATCTGGATGAGCTCTTCGACAGTATGCCCGATACTTCCTACTCGCAGTTTGATCTCGAGATGAAGGCAATGAGCGACTTTACTTCTCTGGACTCGTCGGCGTACGACCTTTTGGACTTCACTGTGTAAACAGTCTTCCCAACGTGAAGACATGTGCGAGGCTGTATGATATTGTTTTGGATGTTACGAACCTATAATGACTTGGCGTATGTGTAATCTCTGGGAGATGGTCCGACGCATTTATTTCGAACTCATGGGACGGGCTCTCAGGATCTTGGCATTGTCAAGAGATTTTTTTTATGAGAGACACATGTTTCGCTTCTTCTGCTGCCACTGTAGGGACCGTAGGGTGTAGGCTTACGCTCCTTTGTTCGGCATATTTGTTATTTTAAAAAGGCGTATACGGTTGGGATATCTGACGGTTGAACGCGTGAATGAGTGCAGGATGTCTGCCAGCGACATATCTCAATGACAGACGAGCGCCTCCGTAGCAATGCGACAACGTTTGGATGCTTTTCAATTGATCCTTATCTAACTCCCCCATACATCTCTTCCAAGACCATGCAAGTGATTGAAAAACTAAAATAAGCAAAATGGACACCGCTAGTGTTTGGTGTTGTTGTCGCAGAAACACTAATGCTTTCGGTCAGCTTGTACTTAGTACTACTACTTGACGTCATGACATCTGATCGCGCGTCAACGCGTCATGCCAATCTCCTTTCCTCACACCCAACCTTTTTAATATCGTTCAGTTTCATATCGATGGCCCTAACGTTGCGTAGTAAAAGCCACTAGATAAAGTGAACCACTCATGTCCATTCCTGGCGCCACCACACGCCCCTCGACCGATCGTACCTGAAGATTAGTACCATATCGATGATGTCGATGCAGGGGTCAAACAAAGCCATGATGGTATGTCATCCCGTTTTGGGAATTCGATGAGGTCGGTGATAGAAAACAACGGTGATGTAAGATCATGGTTCTATAGGATGTAGAGGAGGTTGGGAGTTGAGGTATACATGGGTGTACGGTCAGTTGTCTTGTATGAGGACACAATCTTGCCCTTCCATCGTATACACTTCAAAGTACCCAAATCTCTCTTTACTATCCAACAATGGCACAATCTGTTACCAAGACCAAAGCTCACACATTACACTTTTCCTACGACGAAGATGACAGCTGTGCCTTGACAACTCTCATCAACGATGTTCGCTACCATGTCATGGTTGATCCGAACGAATTGAAAAAGTCCCGCGAGAAGCCATTGTATTACGAATACCTTGATAAGATATCAGCACTTCGTGAGGCAGAAGAAAGGGAAGAGGAGTTAGCTGAAGAGCAACAGGCCAGAGTCCATCGTGGCAAGGCGAAAAGCAAGAACAAGAGCAGGGAAAGCTCAGAGGGTTCAGACAGCAAAGACAGTGGTGTCGACATCACAGCAGACGGCGATGACGATGAATTTGTGGAAGATGATCAGGAGGACGAGGAGGTTGGAGAAGACCTAGACCAAGATTCAGCCAGTGCAGGCTTGGAGCTGCGAAACTGGATACTCGGAGCACTTGCAGACATCACGAAAACCGATGCACCCCCAAATCGCGAACCAGAGGAATCTACGTTGTACGAATGGTATCATGGCCCAACATACTTCTACAGCATGCAAATCACCAACGGTGAACTATCCCCTCAACTTCTCGAAACAACAACCGAGCTCGAAGCCAAAATCGAAGCCCTCGTCCCTCGCCTCAAAATGCCGAAATACATCCAAAACTACAACCTCCCCTGGCTTAACCCCAACGACCTAATCGTGCAATCCGAAGTCAGCATGCCACCCCCAGCGCACCCCGGCCAAGTCATCCACAAAAGCACCGGCACAGTCTACTTCTTCAAGCCCGTCGTCCCCTCTCAACCCGACTCCGTCAAACGCGAAATCCACATCCTCCGCAAACTCGAGACACTGAATCTCGACATCAAATTCCCCAGCCTCCTCGGCTTTGTCTCCCTCTGCAACAGCAAAACACAAGCAATGGGCATGCTACTCCAGAATATCCGATACCCAACGCCCTTGACTAAGCTCCTGCGCTCCAGCGTCGACGCCGGTGCGCGCGCAGAGTGGAGTCGCAAGAGCGAAGCTTATATCAAAACGCTGCATGAGCATGGGATTGTGTGGGGTGATGCAAAAGCGGATAATTTCATGGTGGACGCAGAGTCTGAGCTGTGGATTATTGATTTTGGGGGCAGTTACACGGAGGGCTGGGTTGATCCGGAGATCAGTGAGACGGTAGAGGGGGATCGCATGGGGTTGGAGAAGATTCAGACTGCGTTGGCGGATCCCGAGGGGGGCACGGTGGAGTTGGGGATTGGGGGTGAGAGCGAGGAGGAGGATGAGGGGAGCAATGTGGTTAGGGAGACGGCGAGTACGTTGTTTGTTACAGAAAGGTCGGCGGATGAGGAGGTTACGAGGGAGGAGAAGAGGAAGAGGGCGGAGAGCGAGGTTGGAGAGGGGATGGTAGAGGATGAGAGTGCGAGGAAGAGGAGGAAGAGTGATACCCTGGCTTCATAATACCTTTTCTCTTATAATGTGTGAGCAATAAACTTTGTGTTCTCTTCATATATTTCTATTTCTTCATTTTCAAAATGCTGTATATATACCCATGTCGACACGGCTCTATGGTGTATTTAGATATACATATCCACAAGTCTTGCGTCAGCTGATCAGACACCACTCTGTCAGGGGCTGAGGCCTCACAAGCTCACAGATGTAAATAACACCACCACAACCCCCAACATGCCGATCATGACCACAGAAAGTGACTCACTAGACATCCTCACTGCTGCGCCCAATGCAGGACGACTACTACCTGCGCCTTGGTTTGGTGCTATTTCGCCTTGCCCACTTACGCCTCCATTCTGTCCCCCTCCCGTCCCCCTCGATCCGTCGTCCTGGCCATTTGCACCAACCTGCCCTCCATCACTTCGCGGGCTAGTTTGAATCTGGATATCTCGCATGGGCTGCCCAGGTGGGTTATTCACACTGTTAACCTGCACCTGAAAGTCCACTAGCGGATTCTCAATCATGGCACACTGCATGCGGCCCCCATTTGCGCTCAATGGGCCTGGCGCGGGCTTGGTAGTTAACTGGCCTGCACCGGGGAACGGCTGGATACTGTTGGTAACACTAATAGGGAGATTGAAAATCGTGTATCGATCTACACCGTTGAGTCGGTAGTTTTGGTGAATACTGATGTTGTAGTCGCCTCTTGCTGTTGCACCTTCCTCGTCATTACCATCGCCGACGAGACAGTCTGGCCATTCGAAGTTGATGTGCTTGACTGTTTGGCCAAGCTCTTGGTCGAGTATGTCCGCGAAGGGTGGTGTGGAGGTTGTTATATTAGAGATTGTGAAGTTCTTCTGGGTAATTGTTGAGGTCAAGAAGAGAGTGAAGTTGAAGACTTGAGTGAGTGGGTCGGCAATGTTGCGTGGAGGAACAGGCAATTTGCCGTCACCTGACACATCGAGGGCAATGTGCAGGAAATCGCCACCCATAGGCGTGAAAGGCTGAGGCTGTGGCTTCTTGTCAGCCTGGTGTGCCTTTCCGCTAGGATATCAGGTGACGTACTGCTAGTATTATTCCCAACCCAGGCGTGTAGATTCTTCCGTTAACGATAGTGAATGCGCTTGTATCAGGGCCGTTGTTATTGCCATTCTGTCGCACATGAAGTTCTCTTTGGCCTGGAGACCACGACCCCAGCATCTGAGCATCGCCAGCTCTGAGTATTAAACATGATGAAAAGAAAAGTAAAGAGCGGTAGTACGAAGAGAAGATCATTGCTCAACAACGATATGCATGCTGGCCAGCAGTCCAACCAAAAAGAAAGAGAAAAAGGTACGGGAAATTGGTGCCTGAGGAATTCAATCTACTCAGTGAAGGAGGAAATCAAGGGCGCGCGCGGAATAGATTGCAGCCCGGTAATATGCAAGTCAGGCCCGCCACGGCCGGTTGTGGCTCACCGGGAAATAATGGTGCATAATGCTTGGTACTGTGCGAAAGCAGGTTTATTTCAGCGACAAGTGGTTAGAATCACCAACTTCGTGGTTTGTGTGCAGTCTCGAAATGATTTTCTGAGACATGACATGTTTGGAACCGGAGTTCGGCGGAGGTTCAGCCCGCACCACCGCACCCTTTTTTCTCCGCGTGTTAAGAGAAATCGAAGAGCGATAAGCAATTCTCAAGTCTTGGTGAGAACCATTGCACGAGCAAGTATTTCGTTTGCGAACAAGCTGGGGAAAGTATCGCGAAGCTACTCAACATCTCAGGCTTCAATCACATAGTCGCCGGGAGTCACTGAGGATGTACACATCAGCAGCCGCTGAGATCCGGAATGAACGACTTTGCCTTCAAACATAAGTACAAATCTTTTCACTTTGGGCGACGATTTCTGTTTTAATATCATGTCCCATCGTTGACACCTACCATTTCCGCTCTATTCCGACCACGCTCAAACGCTCCTCCCATCAACACTGTTACGTGCACTAAGACGAAACTGTCCTAAGACATTCAGAAACCATAACACACGGTGCCCTAAGTCTACATGGTCGACCAAGGAACAGCATTATGACTGATAATTGATGCGTTATTAAGTGTCAAAGCACATGGATCTTGCAATGCCCGCATACGAACGTACCGATGGACGGATTCAGCATCGCATTACATAACACATAACACAGCTGTGTTCACATCAACTGCCGAGTACCCATCACCAGTACAGGATATATGGAACGGCATAAGGAATATCGCGGGACAATCCGCTCTTGTGATTTGCTGCATAGATTTATCTTCTGGAGATGGAAAAATTACTCCAACTCCTCGTTTCATACTTGTCGCAAGTCAGCGACGACCTTGAAATACTTATTGTCCCCCCGGTTATACGAAAGCCTGAACGACAGGCCTGAGCTGACCGACTTCCTAGATGATCAGTCTCCAGGTAGGATACGAGCGATCGAATCCAAGAGACACTCTAATGGGCCAAGCCGACACTGACGAGATAAGCAACGTTGCTCTTGGTAAAGATGCAAAGCCAGGAACGCAAATACGGCCAGCGATGCAGGAGAACCAAAGCACGTCTCACTGAGCGGTTGGTGCAATGCCATCAAGAACACCCAATACGATCAAGACCAGATGAATCAAGAGAAGAGCCCAAAACCCGGGATTCTAATCCTTCCAAACTTTCAATGGCTTTGATTGAACAAAAACGCCAACCTCACCCAAAAATTACCGACTTCGACCGAGAAGCGCTTGCGATCAGATTCGACCCAAAAAGAATACGGACAAAAGTTGGGCAGCGGAGATTCATTATCCAATCACTCGGTATTCAGCCACGAAACGGCAAAAAGAAAGTTGCTAAACGGGCTGCTGACATAGCAAAGTCTTTTAACGGTGGCGGAGGTCCAACGATAACGAGGCACGTTATAATATCCGGGCCAAATACGAAAAAATTCTCACCTCGTTATCTGCGCATTTTTCCGTCCACACTCTCTCGGACTCTTTCTTAATCAAATCGAGCCGAAACAATGCTAGTATATGCCGCGCACTACTTTACAAATAACCAACAGCCTAATTCATCCCATTCCCCCCGCAAATTCCGTGCGTCTGGAAACGAAGCACCGCACGCTTGTTTCTTTTGGGGGGGGGGGTTGTCGGGGGTTTGCTGGCCATCATGTCATTCTCATGCGACAGGTCTTGGGACCTTCTTCCCCCAGGGAGCGCAAAAAGAGGAAGGAACGGGGATTATTAGGTAAAGTAGATCGATTCGCATCTAGATCGATGATGATTCTTTCCCCGCGGATGCGTCTAGGCCTCGGAGTGCGGATGTACCTGGTAGGACCCCCTTCCAAGATATCCTTGGGAGGAGGGGGTTGCGGGAGAGTCAAGGTAAGAAAAGAACATGCATAGATTGGAACCGAGAAACTTTAAGCCGGGGGGGTTATTTTTCTTTTTTTTATGCCCTGGGCATACGTACTTTACCCAGTGCAAGCATTCTAAACGTAAGCACGGCTGGGGGTGGTGGGGTGAGCAGCGTGACCCGCATGCGGTTAGGAGGCAAGTAAGTACGGTACTAGGGCTAGTAAGTTCGCGGCTAGCCACGCGAACAAAATGTCAGATAGTATCGTGCCACACCGGCATGGGACTCTCCCTTGCCCCCCGTCGCCTCGCCTCCCCTTTCTATTTGAGACATTGTAGTAAGACGAAGACAGCACCGAACGTGTGACTGGTTCGAACAACTTTTTCTGCGTGAAGGCTTGATACTTAGCTCCGACTTTGTCTGTCTTACACCACTCCGTCGGGTTCCCTTTTTTTGTGCAAAAAACCTTACAGTGTTGTAGAATTTATGCTTGCGCCCAAGTCAACTCCGTCCGGCCTATCCCAGGACAGAAACTTGTGCACAGTTGTAGGTATGTGTATCAAAGGCGAGAGGAAAAAAAGGTCATCTATGGGAAACGCGCGTCACAAGGTTTGAGTGAAAAATATCGTGTCATTATTTCGTGCGCGTGCGTGTGCGCGCGTGATCTCAAAGGTTAAGGATGAAGGAGAGAAGAGAAGAAGAAAATGGATTTTGGAAGAATGTAGAAAAAAGGAAAAGGAAAATTAACGGATATCAGAGAAAGGCGCTTTCGTTAGGAAAAAAAAACAAAGAAAATATTGGTATCGATCGGTATATTCCTTCCAGCGGTATTACCATTGCTGACCTTCATTGTGCCTCCTGTAATGCGGATCTGACAAGACAGACGACGCGCTATCCCTCTCAATCTCATGCGACTCTGTTGAAGTCGTGTGAACAAATGCTTTCTTCCCGCTCTCCACCAGACTTTCTGTGCTCGCTTGTCTGCTGTGACTGTGCACTGTGAATTCTGTCGTCTTGACCACCTGCGCTGGCATGGCCTTGGTGTTGCCCTTGCCAGTGCTAACGTGGACCTCCCATGTGTCTGTTTCGTCCTTGCCTGTTCCTACCATTGACCGTTGGATGTTGCTCTTTGCCCTCATCGTTCCCAGTGGCACGCCTCCGGCCTCTACTCCGCGGTTTGCATATGCGTTGTTACCATATGCGTTGTTGCCGTAGGAGCTGGCCCCGTTTCCACTCCTGGCCTTTCGCGTCAAATTGACGAGACGAGTGAGAATGCTGAATTCGAGTTTGAGCTTGATGCTGTATACAAGTGGCTTCCAGGACGTTTGGATCTCAAAGAGGTTGGCGAATTCCAGGGCGAGAATACTGAAGTCGAGGAGGATGACAAGAGCGTTGACCGAGATGAGATGGTAAAGGAGTTTCCGGGTACCAACGTTTCCAATAGTACGCTCCAGGCGGAGGAGCTTGGTGGTTTCGAAGAGGTAGAGGCCTGAGATGATGAGTTCTTGGGCGATGAAGACACTGAGTTGGATTCGTTCGTATATGTTATACACCGGTATCCAGGGCTTCGGGTCGGCTGAGTTTGTACCATATACGATAATGATAACAGGAATGTGTAGCCAGATTGCGTTGACGATGATCATGGTCAGGACATACTTGAGCCATCGGAGGTTGTGCATAACAATATGCAGCCGCGAATACAACACCACCGACTGGCCAGTGATCATACAACACCATCCTATGAGGATTAATGTAGCGTATACGTTCTTCGTCTCGATTTGGACCAAATGCATGAGCATGTATCCAATCGAGTTGAAAAGGATTCCATATGTGGCAACCGTGAAACTCCAGAAATACAGCCCGCTGCGCCGTTTGAACAGGGTGAGAATGTAGACATTAAGCTCGAGAAAGTTGTATAATGCTATGCTGAGGAACACGGCCGCGATGACCTTCGCGGTGGGAAGGACGATCGCCATGGTTGGCAAAGCAGGGGGGGTGGTTGCGAAAAGGATATCGTAGAACAAAGCAAAAAGGTGGAGTTGATGAGCGTTCAGATCTGGGAGATCAACCTCCACTTTACTTCAAGAAGGAACCCACCCTGCAAGCATCTTGGCGCACATGTGTGGGTGCCCTGTCAACCATGGGGAACAGGACCATCTCAAACGTCAACGTTTTCTCCGTAGGCGAGCCGTACCTTCAGGGATGGCCTTCATCTTGGTTGAGCGCCTTAAACCAAGCCCTTGTTCCCTTTGGGGGTCCAGCCGGCAGGGACTAAGCAACCATCTCTGGTCTGATGGCGAGCCGTCAATAGGTGGCTCGGCACTTCACTCAGGTCGCGAATTGCCAACTTGGCAAGGCCTTGTCTTCGCTTAACCACATGCTCCCATCCGTGTCCTAGTCTGCTGTGGTAAGGTAACGCGGCCCTCGCCACCCCTGCCAACTATTGCACGACATCGGGCCTTTCAGCTAGGTCTCAGCTCTTCGCATATATATGCTCTTGTCAGAGCGGGAGTTGCCATTCACCAGGTTGATAGATCTAGTGAACTCTCTTTGTGAACAGATTAGTTCACGCTGATTTCCACTTCTGTACAGACCATAAGCGAACTAGAAGTTTTACGGGCGTGAACTCAAGCCTGGAAGGTCGAAATGCTATCCTCCGATCAGTCGCCGTCTGACTATTGTCGCGAGGGACCCGACGATTTGGTTCGCCCACCCTTCGCAATACACCTATACATGGGCACGGGAGAAAGGATAGAAGGACGGTCTTACCGACCACTGTAATACACATGGTTGCTGCGCGTCAACACACGGGGAGGCGCACGGAAAAAGTAAAGGTAGGCCGATGCTGCGAGCGGGGGAGATGGAGGAGGGTCATCAGACGACTCATGCGCTCGTCTGTCCCAAACTCCTATGCATTGCAGATCGTCCCTTGCAGCATAGGACTAGGCAAAGCCTTTGTCCAATAACACGGATTGTGTGTCAACGCCTCGACGCCCAATGTGAAGGACTGACATCAGGGTAAGAGCCTCCTAGTCGTTGCTTCTTGGCGTACCGGCCGACACTCGTGGGGGGAGGGAAGGGGGTTGTATGATCGTCCGATCTTAGAAGATCTTGGATTGTTCAGTTTCCATTACTCTAGTATGTGATGATTAGACCAAGAACCATAAGAGACTTGGAACGGTGAAAAATACGAAGTACGGTAGGTGGACAGGTCGCCCGTATCATGTCCAAACTCTAATCCTCTCTCTAACACAGGGACTAGTGTCGTGCGGTGTTTTGACTGGTTTCGTGGGCCCAAGTCTTTCACAAGCTGCAGGAGGCTGCGCATTTGCGAAGGGGCATTCTTTCCCATGGGGCTGTGCGGCGGAACGGGGTTCCTCGGCCCTTCTATTCACGCCGGCAGACTTGGCGTGGCACAGCAGCACCAATCTCCGCTGCCGCTAGTTGCTCCGCGGAATGGGACTTGGTATAGCGGCTGAGCTCCTAACCAGATCGAAAATGGAAGCTGGCAATTCGGAACCATGGACGGTCCGGATGTCATTGACGGTAGTGTCAGCTGTGGCGTGACAATTTGCCTTCTCCACTTGACGTGTTCGCAATCACCACTCATTCCCGTCATACATTCGTACATACATGCAGCATGCGTCTATTGGTCCAAAAAAAATCGACATTACATTATGTTTTGAATATATCAGCCCGATACACGACTCATGAGGTCTTCTCGGTATTGCGCTATTGTACAGATGCAACAAATCTAAGGTACTACATATACATGCATCTATTGGACTGCTGTGCCGGTGGTGGCGGCAGACAGGGTGATGTAGAACAGCTTAGTCTGTCCAGTAATGATCATGCGGCCGTTTCCAGCAAATTGGAAGTTGGCAGCAGTCGTTCCAGTATAGATCTTGCCAATAAGCTTGGCAGCAGCATTGTAGACCCAGACGCCATCACCGCAACCAACGTATACGCGGCCCTTGGAGTCGTTCTTGATACCTGCAGAATTTTGTTAGCAAATGCAAATATCGGATGCGTTTGCGGTTGTAGATTACGTACCATCAGGGATGAAAGATGGGACGAAGGCGAAAGTCTGGCGGTTGTTGAAAGTGCCGTCCTTGGTAACATCAAAAGAGTAGACGGATGCAGGGGCGGTCAGGTTGAGGCCGTAGTTGGCATTGGCAATACCGGTATCAGTAACATAGGCCTTCTTGCCATCAGGGGAGAATGCGATTCCGTTGGGGTGCTCCATTCCATCAGCCACAACGGTGGTAGCACCGGTGTTGAAGTTGTAACGGTACACTTGTTGTCTAATACCAGGGTAGGGACGGAAGGCCTGGACAAAGCCGTAGATTGTATCAGTGAAGTAGAGATCACCGTTGATAGGGTTGACAATAAGATCATTGAGCGAGTTGAATTGGCGACCAAAGAAGTTGTTGAGAAGAGCTATTTTTGTTAGTGATGGTCCCCAACTATGATTTTTGGAGGCTATAAGAATAACTTACTAGTAGTCTTGTAAGGTGGCGTAGGGTCCATGACGTAAAGAGCTGATGGCACACGGTCACCCTGACCCTCACCGGCGAAAATGAGCTTTCCCTTGTACATGGTAGCACCATTGGGGTTGATGATTTGCGGGTTCGATGTGTTCACAATCGAGATGGGCACCGACTTCAAACTTCCTTTGCGGACCTTCTCGGCATCGGCAATGGCGATTTTTTGGATGATAGCAGACTTGTTCAATCCAGTGCCTGCAGCAGGTGGTCCGGCGTTTTGAACGAAGAAAACTTCGTTGGTAGGAGGGTACCACGTTACCGCCTCGTGAAAGAGAGGATCCGATGGTGAGGTTGCAATGGTAGTCAGAGACGGATCAGTGCCAATCACATCGTAGAATTCCGGGTCGTAAATGTGGAAAGGTTTGGCTAGGAGTGATTCCGCGGTTGTACCAGGCCATATAAACGGCTGTCTCTAGTTAGATGATACAAAAGGTAGATGCTTTTTTGCAAAAAAAGAAAACTTACGGTGGTTCCATTGTATTCGACGGCCGGCGGGACAACAGGCAGAACATTGAAGCTCTTCTGGTCAACGACCTGGGCACATTTGGGCACGGCATTTGCCAAAGCTTGTCCAATTGTCGCGCCGACAGCGACGAGTGATCTGGTAGAAGGCATCGTGAGTTTTTGTTGTTTAGCTGTGACCCAGGAAAAAATCGGTGCTGCAACCAGTACAAGAGTTTTGAAGATAGATGCTGCGCCGCTCTTTGTATTCAAGGTCAGCGGGGAGACTCCACTGGTTTTGTAACCCTACGCCGAAATTGGCTGCTCTTCCGTATCATGTAATTTGGAGAACAAAGTCTGGCGGCGGTAAGCTCCATGCAGACCGGGCAGCGGTCACGCCCGGATATGGGTCCCACTTGTGGCTTGGGCGACGAGGCATGACGCTGTGACCCCATGGGGTCTTGGAAATCCTGCCCCACTGCAAGACCCTCCTACATCTAATGTACTACATACTACAGCCAACTCATGTGAAGCAGCCGTGTTACCCAAATACGCAGATAAACGAAAGCAACGCTCTTTGCTGCAGATGCAGTCAGCGAGCACTTACTTGGGATGCATATATTTTGCATAAGACAGCCTATGATAATGAGCTAAAAACCTGCATGCAGGCTGCTATATGAATCCTTGCAAGCCAACGTGTGCATGCCGACAACCCAGACCATGATGTTTTCTTGGCTCCTATTCCCTGCGTACCAGGGGTCTGCCCTTTGCAAATTACCGAAGTTTTTGGAGCATGGACAACACCCCAGCAGTGTACAGCCTCGCGGTGGTTGGGGTAGTATACAGGAACCAAGCCGTTGCCACCAAACGCCCAGGATACCCAAATAGTAACAGCATGGGAAGACCAGACGCAAAAGCTCTAGTAAAATAAATAGTGCATTGTAAGCAAGTACGTCGTTGAGTCGGGCTGCAGATGCCTCCAAGCGAGGGCCACCCTAGTCCTCGAGAAGCTTAGCCTCCATCTTACCGGTGAGGTAAGCCCATAGTCGTCGTGAGACGCCTCCGTGCCGCTGCATCAATCAATCGGGCTGGCGTAGATCAAGGTCGATCGATTCGTCCCTTACCCATGTAAAGAACTATGGGGTGGCATGTTCGCCATGCCCTCTCGGCATCATTATGTGCCGGTTGGCGAGTAGGCAAAGCACATGGCCATGTCGAATCGGGGCCGTCTCGACCCAGTTCGGCACCGCATCTCATCCTCAATAGTGTATTCTCCCAACTAAATCCTTTTAGGTGTCGTATTTTCCACGTTTCTCACGTCATACTCTACCATTCGTTGGAGGATTCGTCAAAAAGCAATACTCGGGCGTTCGAGATCCATGCTGCACCAACTCGACGGGACGGATTGCCAAGGTTCTCGAAGACGCCTGCGACCTTCTAGAAGGCCTCTTGAGACGCGGCAAGAAGATTGTAGGTACTTGCGAACATGACGCGGCAAGAAATGTGACAGTGTTGAGGCTTTTTTTTGCCTTTTACCCACGCGGGTTGTTTTCAAGTTACATGACTTTTGTTCATCATTGACCATTCTCTGAGTCGTGGCTGCATTGTACAGAGCGGTAGTACGGAATAATTTACTGGTTGAGGCATAGGCTGCGGCACGGCAGCAGCGGGACCGAACAAGCGATAAGGTGATATGTAGTAGTACTTTCTAGGGGCTTAACGCTATGGTAATTTCTATTGATAAACGGATAAATACAAAGTTTTGATGTCTAATCACGTGATGTTGATCTTATTCGATCAGCGAACACCAAAAACATCCGACAATGTGGATTTGTAATTGATTACCTACCTAACTCCTCATATACCGGTGGTCCGCTTGAGCAGCTCTCCCAAGTGGGCTATCAAAGCTGCATAGACAAGCACTATTAGTGTACTTCTCACGCCCCTACCGAAACCTAGGATTTATTTGTTGAAATCTTTTTGTCTTCGCAAGTCTTCAATTCTGCTCTGAGACAAAAACTCTTCTCCTACCTTCTGTGGCCTAAAGCCATCGTTATCTGGGATAGCTTTTGGCGCTCAAAAACGGCCTCCTTGAACACTTTATGCGATTCTCGAATTCTAGGCTAAAGAGACCGCCTAGAACGGAGCATATAGTATGTAGTATCGCGGAATCGATGCTTCTACCTAGTAGCTCCGCGAAACCAACAGAGCACTGCAAAGACGTATATGGATTACCAAATAGGACCGAGAAGATTGTACGTTAACATCTTGTGATAGAGTGTAGTATATCCAAGATTGCAGTGGGAGATTTGCTCCTCTGTATAAACATCATGGTCTCACGTATACGATACCCGTATACTAGGAGGGAATCAATCTATACTATCCTGGTTAAATTAGCCTTGATGAAGCTCTATCACTGATTTAAAATTGCGGGTTGGTCTTGCGAATTACGTGCATGTCAGCTCGAACTTGAAATATAAATCCTTATACATATAGAACTAGATAGTAATACATTAGCTAATAAATCGTCTGCGTCATATCTTGTATTTGATGGATACATAAGGGAGGTGCTCGCTGTTTGATATAGCCGCGGTTTTATTACTACCACTGGCCTCTGTGAGTTTCAAATGTAGTTATGTATATTCAATTAATGGAGTGATATTGTCTCTAAGTATTTTTATGCAAGTGAAGATAGTATGTAGGTTGTTTCCCAAGTTCTCAATGCTTTAATTAATCTTTAAACCCCAATAAAACAGGTGCATTATGTTACTGGATGGCAATCGACTAGATGGGGAATAGCTAGCAATTACAGCAGCGGATAGACACGGTGATATATGCCTAGAGCTACACCTGAACCTCTCTTCAGCGTCGCTTACCAGCTGTAAGTATGGAACTTTACATTTGAGTTTGTTTTCCTACTCTGCGCATATAAACTAGATCCCGTCCTCCGATCACTAGAAAAAAGCTATTTTACTGACTTGCTACCAATATTGGAAAAACATTATTTCAGCATCTCTGCAGTAAAACCTGTTTCATACCACTAGTATAGGAAATTAGGTATTCCAAACTTGTTTTTGCTATTCATAGTAAGGTGGTGTGCTGAATATAAATGACATTATAAACTCATGTATAATTAGAGAAAATATTCAAAGAACATGGCAAAATAAACAAGCCAGGTAGAGGTCTGCTCGCTACTATACTATGTATGGCTCTAGATACTCCGTAATCTCAAAATCCCCAGCGGGAAAAAACTACCCCAAACATGAAAGACCAAGTAAAGCTAAGGGGTACGCAAAGTAATAGTACCTGCTACCAGCCATATTCCTTGTTCCATCCAAGCCTTTTTCGCTCTACATTAAAAAAACCCCCAATCTAGTCATACATCCACACACACACACAAACACAACACTCTTTCATCTACAATTTCTTTTAAACCCCTAAACCTATTCCCCCAAATACGCCTACAAGCACAACCAAGAAAAAGGAACGTATATCGGAAAGAGAAGTGTAATCGCAGTCACATACATATCAGTCCTTCAACACCCCGAACCCCCCCTAGGAAAATCCACCAACTCAGCAACAATCATAGGGAAAAAAACTCGTCGACCTTAAAATATATTGCTACTTAATCTACCTCCTATCACGTTTCCCCTTCCCCCCCCCTACTTCCCACATACTTCACTAGCTGGGTCTTAGATACAAAGTTTCAAATAAATATCTAGAGGTGTAAGGAAGGGGGGGGGGAATATTGTGATTTAGGATTTTGCGTGATGTCACGTTACATATATTTCTGAGATAGCGCATAGTTCCCGTTTAACTAAGAGGTTTGATCGAGATATTTATCTACTTGGGATTCTTGGGTATAGGTTGGATAGGAGGTGTTGTTGTGGATTGGAGTTTCAGCGAGGGAGGGGTTTTTTTTTGGGTGGATGAGGGTGGGAAGGAGATGTGATGGGGATGTGTGGGATGACTGTGAGTAGCGATTGGTTGTTTCGTTAGAGGAGGGCTTATACGTAGTGTAGTCGATGGTGTCTATGTATTTTGACGAAAAGGGAGAGAGGAAAAAAACAAACAGATGTGTGTAGGGTTGGTGGGTGACAGAAAGTACTTTACGCAAAAGTTTCTCAACCTCGTAAGACAGACATCACAAGCAAAGATATTGAACTCTAATATGGGCATGGAAAATCGTGAGTGATATTGTTGTTTTGTCTTTCAATATGCCGTCCGAATATCCCACTTCCAAAAAAACTCCATCCACCGTCCCAGGCCCCTTCCCAACCCCAATCCGTGAGAGACCCAATTCCGTCTTCCGTTCCAACGCCCCTTACCACCCTACCCACAAATCCCTACTTGAGACATTGAAGCCATTCCAATCATCCCCATCACAAATAAAGCCACAAAAGACAAAAAAACGCCAATCCCCATTCGCGCTATTTTCCAGCAGCGAAGGTATCCTCGTGGGGGGATGCATATGCAACGCACAAAACTCCAATAATGTTCCCAATGTTTCCCCAAAGCAAAACCTTGAAGCCCATAGTTTATATCGGCCGTTGAAAACATCAGAAAGCTCGTGAAACAGAGATGAAAGTAAGAAATGAACAAAGGAAAAAGGTTACAAAGGAAACAAAGAAAAAGAAATAATGGCCTACCCCGAATGGGGAAAACCGTTCAAAGCAACAGAAAAATTGCCTTTTTTGTCCTTTATCGAGGTCCAAACTCCGGTTTGTGATATAGAGTACAGGAGGGGGAAATCGTAAAAGGTAACAGGATATCGCAAAATGACACGCGAGACGACTTGTGATTCATGATGTAACCAAGACGGTGCGGAGCGATGAGTAGCAGAGGTGATGCAATAGTGAACGGCCAAGCGCAAGCACTTAGCTCATGTCCATCATATCGGCATCACCGTAATGTTCGCCAGTGTATGTAGCAAGAACCTCATCACTTGGGCCAAAGTTGCCCTCGTAGATGGTGGCGCCAGAGCGACGCCTCGAGTCAACCCATCGGCAGCCATAGCACTGGAGCACTTGGTCTGCCGTTGGTCTTTGATCGGGGTCACGGTTCAGCATTGCGTATACAACATGGTCCATGGAGTTGGGGTCGTTGCGCTGCACCATGAAGGATGGTGCGCGTGCGAGGTCCTCCTCTGGGTTCGATGCTGGCTTGACGGTGAT